GATTTCTAATCATGAATTTTTACCCTAAAGATCCGAAGACCATCCCCGGTACTTTTACCCCGGAGTCCCCGCCACCCTCTTCCCCCGGGGGTGAAAATACTAAAAAAGAAATGAATGAAGACTGTGAGCGACCTAGAAGGGTTGTTAATGTCTTGTAAGTGTGGTAATAGTGAATATCACTTGATAGTAACCTAGTTCACTCAAAATGCTTAAAGATAATCACTACTTTAAACTGCATTTCCTTACATTTTCAAATGCCCCTAATTCGAGTGTTTTGGAAGGACATACGCCTCTATAAACGTCCACTACGCATTCGAAGCAGCGCTTTACACTCTCTTCGCGGACTCCCCTTTGTTGCGAATTTGTTCCGTTTTCCATTAAAAAGTTTTGGACAATCGTTCACATCGATGCGTTTTCGTAGTATTTCTCTTAAAAACGCTCTAAAAGTGCCAAAGAATTATATTACAAGACAAAGGATTTAGTCATTTAGTCTATCAACGTTAGGAGTATGAAGACGATGACAAGTTTTAGTTGCGCTATATTATTTATTTCGATTATCATTTATTGTAATACCATGATCACCTCGGATTCCACTTTTTTGACAAAAARTAATAATAAATAATTATATATATATAATTTTTTTTCAATACTAAAAGGAAATGAGGGGACAAATGGAACTTCTAAATTTTGACCCCCTCACTTTTTTTAACCCTGCTACGGGCCTGCCCTATTATTCATATCAGTCCTACTACTGAAAAAGGAAGATTGTCATGCCATTATAATCAAACTACAACTACGGATTCAACGTGATTTCCATTATTTAATAAAACTGACATTTTCCTGTAATATCATCCGCAAAAACATGATAATAAACTGAAAAAGATGCAAAGCAAAAACAAACCGTAGAAATGACAAACAAAATTTAGTACGAATAAAAGAAACAAAAAGCCGACTTTATCAACACAAAGCAAGATTTSCGCACCAAATGAAAGGCTCTGATTTGCAAGAAAAACGGATATCACAAATCTATATCATTGTTGACCTAGAATTGACTCCCCTTCAATCCCAAACCTATGTTATGGTCAATATATCACTTATCATTGACGTCATCTAAAAAACAGAACATTTAAAGAGCATTAATCGCAGTAAAAGTGCTATTAACTCAAACTACAAAAACAACAAACTAAATCCCTTCCATTCTAGTCGAAATTACTGTTAATTGATTGCCTAGTTATTCTCTGGYTATTGATGTAAACCAATAAACAACGTCAAGCTGTCCGAATACTGCTTGCAAACAGGCCAAATGTGATATCCAAATATTGTGGCGGTAAAAAGGCCAATACAAAACATTTGCGCATTATCTAATTAATACTGAAWGAAAACATAAGACTTATATAAGAAATGGATCGGAAATAAAGATTTTTTTCTGTGAAATATTGAAAACTGATGTTCCTTCTCATATTTAGAATAATTGAAAAACTTTAAAGAGCTA